CCCCAAACTGCGATGACAAAAATGCTCCATCACTTCCAAACAGTCCCCAAGAGACACAGAATTACATCCCATTGAAAATCACTGCCATAATAGGGGGAAAGCAGATCTAGTTTCAATTCAATACTTTCTGAGGGTCTCCTTTGAAGTTAGTTTTTGGGGGTTACATTTGAGACACAGGACCCCAATTGAGAAGACTACTTGGTGTTCATTTGGATACCCTGGGGTATAGTAAACTCTCCCAAGATACTGAAGTCCTCTTTAGTGTCTGAGGATGAAGTCCACTGGGTGAAGCCCTTTGGGGCCCACCAGGTACTCAAGGATAGAGTTCTCCATACATATAGTAAGGTACCCCAATTTTATATTCTCAGGGAAATTAGAGCATCCCAGGGAAATAATGGAGCTCATTTGAGACATGATAGGCTCTCTCAGTATTCTGATTCCTCTTAGCGTATATATAGGGCCACTTCAGATACAATGGGGATTTCTCAAGTTACTGAGGTTGCCTAATTGGGAGTCCCAAGTTAGACTCCAAATTCCACCTTTGACTCACCCTCTCTTCTTGTTCTTCTCTGTGGTCGCATCCTTCTCATTCTCTGCCCTGATGGGCTGGGCCTCTACCCCAGCCTGGGGGGTGCCCCCAGGCGCCCCCTCCTTGGCAGTTCCCTCTTTGCCCCCCTCAGCCTCGCCCCAGCGCCCAGCTGAGCGGCGCAGGTTTTCATAGTCAGGGTCGGGCTCTGCTGCTCGTGCCTCATCCTCGGCAGGAGGCTGCAGGCCAGGGGAGGCCAGGGGGGTGGCCCCTGCAGTGCAGCGGAAGTGCTGGTGGAACTGGACTGGAAGGCTCAGCCGGAGAAAGAGCATCTCCACCAGACTGTTCTGGGAGCCCCAGGTGCGGTGGGTCAGGCGCAGGCAGGGAGGCGTATCCACGGTACCATCCATGCGGGCCACCTGCAGGGGTCAGGGGACAGTGGGAAGCACTGAGCCAGGTGGGGGGGCTGGGCCAGGCCATTGGTCCGAAACCTGGTTACACAAAGAGCCACCCTTAGGCTTTAGAGGACCTGTGTGAGAATTAGTCAAAGATGCCCCCTCCTCTGAGCGGATGAAGCTCCTGGTGGGGCAAGCAGCTTGGCCATGGGTGCTTTCAGCCCTCTCTCAGCCTTTTCTGGGCACTTTGTTTTGTGGCAGCCCCAGAAGCCCCAGTCATACACTGGAATCACTTAGGGAAACTTCCAAAACCTACCTATGCACAGGACTCACTCCAGACCAAGTCATCCATCCATCCATCCATCCATCCCACAAATATTTACTGAGCACCTACTGTGTGCTAGGTACTGTTCGAGGTGCCAGGAACACATCAGTGAACAGAACAGACTGCCCTCCTGGTCTCTTAGGGACACCTCTTGGGGAGAGCAGTTCAGAAGAATCCAAATTTTGTAAAGGCTCCCCAGGTGAATTTTTGTTAATTATGTTGTATGTGGAAATATAACACTCAGAAAAGTGCACACGTCATAAAGTGCACAGTATGAGTTTTCAGAGTGAATGCACCTGTGTGCCCAGCACCCAGATGGAAAAACAAAGCTGGCTGGTCAGCTCAGTTGATTAGAGCATGGTGTTATAACACCAAGGTCAAAGGGTTCGGATCCCCTTACCAGCCAGCCACCAAAAAAAAAAAAAGAAAGAAAAGAGAGAGACGGGGCCCGGCCCGGTGGCGCACTGCTACAGTGCGCCGCTTGCGAGCATGGTGGCGCTCACGCCGAGGGTTCGGATCCCACATACAGACCGGCTCCCGCTCCCTGGCTGAGCGAGGTGCAGGTGCAACACCGAGGGTTGCGATCCCGTTGCCGGTC